ACACACACACACACACACACACACACACACACACATATCAATTATATCTCATTAATTATAGCATTAACATCTCCCATATATTTCTCTTGTCCATTTGAGCTGTCATGGGTTGGAAAGCATGGATCAGTCTCCTTATACTAATGCATTTCTTATTAATGTAATTTCTGAAGTTTTTCTTAATGAACTTGAATACTATGCTATCAGATGCATAGAGATATTCACAACTGTCAGATCTTCACTAAGGATTGCTTTCTTGAACATTACAACATGCCCTTCTTCCCCATTTGTAATGTGTTGAACCTTTTCCAATGCGAACGTTGTGATTTGTCTTCTTTTTCTTTTGTTAGCTCAATATGCTTTTCTGTATTCTTTTATTTTCAACATTGCTGAGTAACTTTATTTCAAAACAGCCTATGTTTAGGCTTTGGGTATTTAAAATCCAATTTCAGTGATTTTAGAACATTTGTACTTGCTGATAGGAGAGATTTGGCCTTGTGCAGTTATTGTGTTTTATGTTAGCACTAGAGGCCCGATGCACAAAATTCGTGCAAGGGGCTGGGCCTTCACAGCCCCAGCTTCTTGGCCCATCGCAGCCCCAGCTACCTCATGGCCCCGCCCACTGGTCATTCTGGAAGTTCGTTCCACCATCTGGTCTAATTAGCATATTAGCTCTTTATGATTGTTTGTATTGCTTTTAAAAATGTTTCACTAAATTATCTGTGATTTCCATATTTTATCTGATGAGTATTCACTCTGGTAATTTAGAAAGTTTGTATTTTAAAAAATCTCACCTAGTTGATTCCTCAAAAAGCAGAGCCTTAAACAAACCATATTATTGTTCATTTGTTTTTTCAGTCAGGCTATGTCAAAAACGAAGAATGAGAAACAAGGGAAATGAGGCAAATGGAAGGAATGTCAGTACAAGACTAGTACCAAGTTAGCTGCTTGGTTTCAAACCAATTGATTGCTCAATCCTAAAGGTCAAATGGGAAAACATTCCCATTTTACAAATGAGGACAAAGGTTGAAGAAGTTGCCCAAAGTCACATGACTAACAAATGGCAGTGCTGAGATTTAAGCCTACTCTCTCAACTAACACTATTATCTTTTCATTCTGTCACGAGTTCCTTTCTTCACCTTTCCTAAGTGCCTACTCTCTGTGCCTGACAGGGTGCTAGGAAAACAAATAATCATCTCTATGCTAACTGAGATCAGTTTAATGAGCACTATAGGCCATTGCTGTCATTAATGCTAATCCCTGCCATTCTTTTTTCCTTTTTACAACTGCTGTCTGTACATGTTCTCAGTGCTCTATGGACAACTCTTGCCTTTTACCTGTATCTCCTCAGTGGCCCTTTCCATATATAAAGTGAAATGACACATCACTTTACTTGGTAATTATCAGTAATTTGTGGGTTTCATAATTGTTCATTGAGCTCCCAAAAGATATTCCTTCAGAATTGCTTCCTATTTTCCTTTTTCAGTTTCCAGTATTTTCAAATGCTTCAAAGTGGCAATACAGTGATCTCTGGGGAATCAGTGAAAAGCAGCGATTTTCAACCAGCATGCCACAAATTTTTTTTAAAATCTACAATACCTATTAGGGACCCTGACCTCTTTTCCCTTAGATTGTTAAAAAAAAAAAAAAAAAAAAAAAAAAAAACTGTAAAAAAAAAAAAAAAAAGAAAAGAAAAGTAAGGTTCCCTTCACCAACCATTTTTGTTCCTCCTGATTTGTTCTAAGAATTAAACTATTTGAAAACATAAATGGGCATGCCGGGGGAACTTGACATTAATGTATCAAAAGTTTGGAATGCAGAAAAAAAAAAAAAAAAAAGAAAAGAAAAGTAAGGTTCCCTTCACCAACCATTTTTGTAGTTCCTGATTTGTTCTAAGAATTAAACTATTTGAAAACATAAATGGGCATGCCGGGGGAACTTGACATTAATGTATCAAAAGTAGGTTGGAATGCAATGGAAAATATTAGGCATCCAAAGGGTAATTAGAACAGATGACCAAGACTATTTCTGACCCTGGCATTACTTATAATCAGGCAAATCTGTATATTTAAAAATAATGAATCATGCCTACACTGTTAAATGAAAAAAAGCATTGTACAACACAGAATAAAGTGATACCAATTTTTCTAAAAAAATAAGCACTGAAGACTGATTATTTCTTGATGGTAAAATAAATTTAACTTTTCCTATGTATACTTTTCTGTTTCCAAATTTTCTACAGGGAATGTGTACTACTTTTGAAATATTTCAGTAATTTCAATGCAAAAAGCCATCTAATGTTAAAAAGTTAAAGAGCCATATGTATTAATCGACCATTTAAAAATGACGTATAAATAAATATGTCTAACTGTGGTTGCACATGAAGGAGGCCATGCCTTTCCCATGATACTTTTCTGTATCATTTGATCCCCCCCTGAGAATATATTAATTTCATGATTTAATGTTCTAAACAACAAAAATATATCAAGCAAAATACACTTTATGTACTACTTTTAAAATTGCCACATCTATCCCTACCCGATTTGATTCAGTGGATAGAGTGTGGGCCTGTGGACCGAAGGGTCCCAGGTTCCATTCACTGATGTTTCTATCTCTCTCTCTCTCTCTCCCTCTCTCCCTTTCTCTCTGAAATCAATAAAAATATGTATATTTTAAAAATTGCCACATCTAAAATTTTAGGAAAATTTAAAATTATTAAGAAATGTCTCAGTAGCTGAGAGATGTGGCCTCATCAATCTCCATAGTAAGCAAAAATGTGTTATACAAAAAACAAACCAACCACCAAAACTGTTCTACATACCAAATCTCTTCTTTTTAACATCGAGCAGTTTTTCCTCCAAATCCCAAGATTCCTGTTAATAGAAATAAAAAAATTAAGGGACATTACCTAAGAACAAACCTGTAATACTTACATCACTGAATTTTATCTTAGTTCATGTTTTCTAAAACTCCAGTTATTAATTCCTTCATTTCCACATATCAAGAGAGGAGACAGTAACTTAAATTATAAACACTTAGCAATATTAGTGAAAAATAATAGAGTTATAAAAAGAGAGAGAAAACTTAAGGACAGTGAATTCCAACTATACCAGTTCCTTTGGGCAATTCTATTTTTTTTAAAAATATATGTTATTGATTTTTTACAGAGAGGAAGGGAGAGAGATAGTCAGAAACATCGATGAGAGAGAAACATCGATCAGCTGCCTCCTGCACATCTCCCACTGGGGATATGCCTGGGCAATTCTATTTAATCATACATAATACAGTTACCAGCAAGAAAGTGTTACTGAAATCATGAGAATGCATTAGCAGCCTAAAGTTACCTGCTGTAATTTCATTATTATTTTATTTAGCTTTAATATGTGTTTCATGTTGTCCATGAGCTCACTGAAAATGAATAAAAAAAATAGATTAACCTTAGTTAAAAGTAATAAATCTCATTAATGAAGGAATCAAGTAGTACATATTTACTTTCATTAATACATTTCGTAGAAAGTCATCACTTGATGTAAACTAAATTTTTGTTTAAAAGTAGAGATGCAGCCCTAGCTGGTTTGGTTCAGTGGATAGAGCGTCGGCCTACAGACTGAAGGGTCCCAGGTTCGATTCTAGCCAAGGGCACATGCCCTGGTTTCGGGCTTGATCCCCAATGGGGGATTTGCAAGAGGCAGCTGATCAAAGATTCTCTCTCATCATTGATGTTTCTATCTCTCTTCCCCTTTCTTTACTCTCTGAAATCAATAAAAATTAAAAAAAAATTTTTTTTTAAAGTAGAAATGCATTTTCCTAGAAAAAAGTTTGGTCACATACAATAAAAAATATCAAATTTAAGCACATAAGAACATTTCTAAAAATGTCATTTTTAGGGAGAAAAAAATTCCAAAAACTTGCTCATAAGTTGCTTTTTATAAAAAAACACACAACTTTATTTTACTTTTTGTTAATCCTCACCTAAGACTATTTTTTTCCATTGATTTTTATAGAGAGAGTGGAAGGGAATGCTGTACATTTTATGGGTTTGACAAATGTATAATGACATGACTCCACCACTACAGTATCATACAGAATAGTTCACTGAATCAGCTGCTTTTTATCCCCATTTCTTCAACAAATATTTCTGAGTGCCTACAACATACCAAGAGCTGTGCCAGGCTCCAGGGATGTAAAATAGAATAAAACATAATACCTGTTTTCAAAGAGCAAAGAACCTGGTGCGGGGAAAAAAATAAATCTACAACCGTAGTACAGTTTCACTACAACCAGTAATGGATATGAACCACTGTAAGAAGTGCGCAGAGTGAAGCAAGGGATATGAATCTTAAAGGACAAGAAGTAATTTAAGTCAAGTAGTTTGGAATGGCTAGAGCCAAAGGTGTGAAAACAGTTTTACTTCAAAGTGCCACAACCCCTTGAGAGGCTTGTTAAATGTAGACTGCCAGCTGCTCTCCCCACCAACTCCCACCCACCCCCACACCTTGGTTTTTAGATTCAGAGTCAGTAGGTTTGGGATGGGACCAGCAGTGTGATCACTGTGAAAATACTAATTATTCTGATATTGTAGGAGTGTAGTGCGGAGGCTGAAAAGGAATGTTTACACAGCTGTGGAAGATCTGAACTCATTTTCTACTGGTTATAGCTATGCTTGATTTTAAAGTTTATGATGAATCTGTCCTGTGCCCCTTTAACTCAAGAATTTTTTTTTAACACATTGCAGGCCAGTAGTTTTATTGCTAACTTTACCCAGTGGCCAGATAAGTTTCTATTTGAACGAGTACAAAAAACGTTTTACGTAAATGTTAAAGGCACGCCTTAAAATAAAATACCCATTGCATTTTGAAGTTATTTATTACATGTTCTTACAAGTTAATGTCTTTTTAAAGTATGATACTTTCTAAAACACTGTGTAATATGAAAACACGAGAATCCTTGTGATCCGTCCGCAATACATAGGGTGTGATGTCACAGGAAGGTCATAGCATCCTGCCACCCGTGAGGAGTAAGCCCAAGCTGCTGTTGGATGTGTTATACACAGAGGACCCATTCTTCAGGCGCTCTGCTCTCTTCACACCCAAGGAATGTTTTAAGCTCATTTATGGGGAGCAATAGTTAATGAGCTCAAATTCAGATTTTAGGATTTGTGTAACCCTGGATTTAAATGGAATATGGGGAGAATGTGCATGAGTCTGAACTAAGATAGGAGAAGTGCCCAGATCCATCTTAGTATTTTTCTACTCTCATGAGAAGGGATTTTACATCAAATATTTTTAGACCTTTGGGAGATAAGATCACAGGTAAGGCTCCTAAGGCAAGATATTTAGAACCAGATTATAGAGGACCTTGACTGCCAGAGTCTTTACTTTATATTCCTTGGCAAATTGACATATACAAGCTCATTTCTGCCAATGATAAATAAAGAGTATACTTTCTATCTATCCTTGGGGTGTTGTTGGATTAAATGAAATAGCATTGTTCCTGATTTTCAGTAAATAGTGCACAAAATTAACTTTCAAACCTTCCTTCAAAATAATCTGGTTAAAACCTAAATTGCTTCTTAGCATTGCATTATGAACAAGATGTCAGCAGGACTATAAAAGTTGTTGTAATGCTGAGTGAGGAAAGTCCACAAAAATTCCATCACTTTTCCTATTCCCCAGATAAAAGTGGTTGGCAGTGATAGTTAATTTTTTAAAAAATCACGAGCCCTGGCTGGTGTGGTTCAGTTGGTTGGAGCATTGACCTATAGCCTGAAAGGTCGAGTGTTCGATTCCAGGTCAGGGTGCATATGGGAGGCAACCAGTCAATATTTCTCTCTCTCTCCCCCGCTCCCTTCCTTTCTCTCTAAAATCAATTTTAAATAATCAAGAAACCAAAGTCAATATGCAGATACCCCTTCTTATTCCCATCCTTACCAAATACAGGAAAAAAAATAAGTACCTAGTCTGAATGTTACTCTCCTCCAGGTTTTTTCTAAGTGCCCTTGAAAGTTGCATCCTATGAGAGAGGAAAAGCTTGCATTACAAGACATAGATAACATTTATGGTACACTGAAAAGAAAATTTTAAAATGTGACATGTTAAAGATTGATTTCTGTTTAAATATAATATAAAACATAAGTAGATTTAAAAACAGTATTGTATGGGAAATACTTGGTAAATAAATCACAGAAATATGAAATAACACTAAGATGGATGGGATTGTTGCATGTGGTTGTGCATTGACAGACTGAGGGACTGAGTAATCCAGCCTGAGCTTTGTTCCCCAAGCCATCCACCTTGGTGCCAGGGGGAAGAAACACAGCATTAAGGCACTACAGAGAGCAACAGGGCCTGAGATGGAGAGTTAGGGAATACAAGGCCACACTGAACTGTGAACTTGACATATGCCTACATACCAACAAGCTCCATAAATCACCTTCAAATTCAAACAGCTAATAAATAAGTAAAAATAAAAAGGCAATCAGCTCAGCAATATTAGAGCCCTTCCCTCTGTCTGTCACACACAAGAAAATTCAGTTCACTAAAAGGAGATCTCTTAATACCTCTGAAGTCACCTTAGTTAAAAAATATGATCTATATAACAAGCTAGCATATGAGAGGAGGGGAAAAGCTCACTGTTAGAAACAATTAAAAGTGCTTTAACTACTTTTCGATTAAACATATAAAGAAATTCATCTGAGAAGGCCAGAAATATAAGATAGTAATTTTAAAAGTCATTCACTTAATTGAGATTAGTCAGATCACAAAATCTGTAAGAAACTATGTTTATTTTATTAACAATGGTATACCAACACCTAGTGTAAAGCTTAGGACATAACAAGCACTCACATATTTGTTGAATAATTTTAAATACAGATGCAAAACTTATAATTAAAAATATACTTTATTTAAACTTGATGACAATTCTTTTACTCAATGAACAGTTACTGGAATAATCAAATCCATGTAATCCTTTCAACACTGAATGGGATTTAACCTCACATTTCTATTGCTTTGATTGATATTTCCTTATTAACCCTCTATTATGTAACTTCTTCAAATGAAGATACTAATGAATGATGTAACGTCTCTCAAGGATCAAAATTTGTGTGACCATTATCTAATCATCATTTTGCTCATTTAAAGTAAAGTATTTTCTCCACCTTGAGCCATTTTGCATTCAGTTCACAATGCTTATACCCGAAATGTAAAAATTACCTGTCCAATGCAAGCTTTTTCATTTCAAAAGCAATTTTCACCTCTTCGATTTCATTTTCCAGGTCTTCAATTTTACTATCAAAGAAGCATAAACAAACGAATTTCAGCAATATCAGTAAAAGTCATTATTGGAATAAATGTTAAAGTAAACCTTTGAAAAAAGTAAAATGCCTCTATCTAAATAAAGGTATTCTATAGACTCGCCACACCAATACACTTACAGATTTGGTAAACTCCTGAAATACTCTGATAAATATCTTGTTAAGGGGGAATGCCAAAGTGCTAATAGGATCACAGGATGTAATCCTGTGTCAACAAATTCTCAATACATGCATGACAAATTACTTGGGAAAAAAAGGGCGGGGGGGAGGCAAAGTTATAAGACAGATATTATTATTAAATCTTAGTAAAAACCACAAATAAAGTTACGTTTCAATTTGCTTTTCTGGAATGATTTCTTCTGGAGTTTTTTCTTCATCTACAAATAAATAATTTTTTGAAGTTAGTAACATTTTAGAACAGTGCTGTCCAGAAATATAATGTAAGCCACAAATACAAACCAAGTATGTAATTTTTATTTTCTAGTTTCCACATTACAAAAGTAAAGAAACAAGTAAAAATAATTTTAATATACCTTACTTAACCGAATAGATGAAAAATAGTATCATTTCAACATGTAGTCATTTTAAAATTACTAATGAAATATTTCACAAGCTTTTCTTCTGTGCTTATTTTACATTTATAGCCCTTCTCAATGAGGACTAAACACATTACAAGTGTTCACCAGTCACAGAGCAGGTGCCTACCATATTGGACAGAACAATGTTAGAATTATAGAAAATAAAAGGGAGTAAAAAATGAACAAGAGCAATATTAAAAAATTAACTGTATGTTTGTACAAATTAAAATTTAAAAACATCATGGACAATTATATTAAAAAACATGAAATACTTAAGAATCAATTTAACAAAATATGTGTATGACCTCTACACTGAACAATACCAAATATTTTCATGGAAAGATATACCATGTACATGTATTGGGAGAATCAATATTGTTAATGTAGCAATTTCCCCCATATTGACCTAAAGATACTAATCAAATCCCAGTTAAAATTCTATCAATTTAGCCCTGGCCAGTGTTGCTCAATTGGTTGAGCACTGTCCCATGCATGGAAAGGTCACCTGTTCCATTCCTGGTCAGGGCACATGCTCAGGTTTCAGGCAACCAATCGATGTTTCTCTCTAGCTCTCAAATCAATAAACACTTATTTTTAAAAAATCCCTATTATCCAGTGCTTTTCAAAGTGTAGGTCTCAATAAAAAGCAACAAAAAACAAAGTATAGGTCTCAAAGCACTTGCTTCATAATTATCTGATCCGCTAGTTCAATCTTCAGGTTGTTGATGGTATAGCAAATTCTACGATTCCTTAAGCCCACCGGGATTTCTCAATTCCCTGATCAACAGAACTTAACTGTCTTGTGCATTGTTATTTAATTGTTTAATATCTATTTCCCGAATCCCTAACTAATTCCGATGGGCAGGGCAAGCTGCTTTTTGCCTTCTTACATGGTATAGTATAGCATTATTATGTCACTCCTATTTCCCAAGTAAATAATTTTTTGTAAAGTTTATTTTATTTTCACTAGAGTACTGCTCATCATCAAACTCACAAAACCTTATCTGAAAATGCAAATACTTACTTGCATCAACCATTGATTTATATTCCAAGAGTTGTTGTTTTGTGATCGCCCTCAGCCTGAAAACAGATAAAAAAAATTTAAAAAAAAAAGAGAAAGTCATATATTTATTGAGGTTTTACTCATTACTGTATGATAAAGCAACTCATTTTTGGGGAGTTAATGCAACAAAATAAATATAAATAAACTCAGCATTAAAGTCTCCTAGTTTGGCCTCATTTTATTTAAAATGGCATATAGAACTTTAGGGCCTCAGAGAAAAACAACAAAATGGAATACTTTAGGGCCTCAGAGAAAAACAATAAAATGGAATACAGTGGAAAACAGCACCTGTGAGGAAAAGTTAAAAATTTGATATTTAAATTTTTTTCACTTTATTAAATTTATTGGGGTGACATTGGTTAATAAAATTATATAGGTTTCAGGTGTACAATTCTAGAATGCATCATCTGTATTCTTTATTTTCATTTTTTTAATTTATATTTTTGGTTAATCCTTATCTGAGGATATGTTTCCATTGATTTTTAGAGAGAGTGGAAGGGAGGGGGAGAGATAGAGAGAGAAACATCAATGTGAAAGAGACACATCGATTGGTTGCCTCCCACGCATCCCCAACCAGGGCAGAAATGGAGTCTGCAACCGAGGTATGTGCCCTTGACGGGAATCTAATCCATTGAGCCAAACTGGCTGGGCTTAATTTATTCTTAATGGGCCACAGTGAAGTGAGCGTTAATGAGAACTGCTACACGTTTAAGAACTAGATCAAAATGGGGAAATCACAAACACTAATGAGTTACAACCAGATTGTAACATGCTCGGGAGATCCAGAAAAATAACAGGAATACTAATCTTTGGATAGGTAAGTAATTCAAAGTTTCTTATCTGGATTCTACCTAATTCAAAATCATACATAAAGTAAGTAGAAAAGCTATGGGTAAATGGGAATTAGCTATTAAGTTGTACTTACAAGACGTTTCACACTTCATAGTAGTTTCATAAATCTGAAACTGTTGCTTTGTCTTTGAATCACAAAGAAGCTAAGAAACATTAGACAAATTTCTAAAGCTCCATGCACAGTACCTTGTTTCAAAATTCCAAATGAGCCAGAACTGGTTTGGCTCAGTGGATAGAGCGTCAGCCTGCGGACTCAAGGGTCCCAGGTTCGATTCCAGTCAAGGGCATGTACCTTGGTTGGGGGCACATCCCCAGTGGGGGGCGTGCAGGAGGCGCCTGATCGATGTTTCTCTCTCATCCATGTTTCTAACTCTCTATCCCTCACCTTTCCTCTCTGTAAAAAATCAATAAAATATATATAAAAAAGATGTTTCCCATTTAAAAAAAAATTCCAAATGAAAAGAGCAGTTTATTAGATGTTAATCAGGCTAGCGTTTCTAAGACACACTGAAAGGATCGTTCCTTTTTAGCTGAGATGGGAAAGCTCTTATGTCTTTAATGTTTCAGCATTTTACATGGCAAGTAGGAAGGAATTTTTAAAGTGAGCTTTATTAGCCAAAGCCTTTCAAAGCAGTGGTGAACCTGAAAAAGTTACAGTGCTTATTTTTAAAAAACCGCTTGTTATAATTTAGAAGAGTCTGCCACCTTCTTTTGTAAAGGACCAAGGAGCAAATATTTCAGGCTTCCTGAGCCATATGGTCTCTGTTGTAAGTACTCTACTCAGCCCTTGTAGCAGGAAAGCTATATTTCAATAAATACTTTACTTAAGTTAGGGCAATAAAATTTGAATCCCATTTAATTTTCATGTTATTAAATATTCTTCTTGTAATTTCTCCCTCAACCCTTAAAGACATAAAAACTATTCTTAGCTTGAGGGTTGTCACACAAAAACAGGCAGTAAGGTGGACTTGGCTGTGGTCTGCCCACTAGTTTAAAAGATTGATGTCCCTTCTCATCAAATTTTCTTAGAAGATTGATGTCCCTTCTCATCACATCTTCCCCTAATGACGGCGTAGTGGAAAGGTATACACATCACCCTGGTGGCCTGGCCTGCGCCGCTCAACTGGCCGAACTTTGCGTAAGGCCGCTGGTTGGGTTGCGGTCGGGGCACAGACCCAGGTTGCAGGTTGGATCCTGGGTACCGGGTAGAGGTGCCTGCGGGAGGCAACCAACAGATATTTCTTTCTCACATCAATGTTTTTTTCTCTCTCTCCCTCTCACTTCCTCTCTAAAAATCAATAAAAACATTTTTTTTAAAAAAAACGTTAAATGATCAATGTTACAGTATATTAAAAACGTCACCCTGTTGGCAGAAAATACAAATGAAGCTTGTGGATCGAAAGGCTCATAGCTATAAAGTAAAGGGGCGGGACAACCCACGTCCAGCAGCTCAGGGCTGGGGTGCACCCCACAACCCTCTGAAAACCGGGTGAGGGGATGAGAAAGGGAGGGAATGACAGCTTCGAGGGCTCGAGGGCCCGACTTCTCACTTAACCCCTTTGGCAACCCCGATCGGAGGTGTCATCTCTTTCCGCTCCTTTTCCAAGACGAAGAACAGGGCTTACGGGGCTTAATCTAACGACGCTGTCACGCAGCCCACCAGGGACCAAGCCTGAATTTGAAATATTTTGGCCATTTAGCGCGGAAGGCGGAGCTCTCGGTGCGCCGGCACCGGTCCGGCCAGCGGGCCAGAGGGAACAACCTGAGCAGCAGCGGTATGGGGTCCTCCGCGG